GCACTATACAACTACGGCAACACAAGATGTTTTGTAGCTCTCTGCAAATATATCTTAGTTTAAAAAATTGATTTCCTACTTTGTCCTGAGATGATTATTACCAGTATTATTTATTGTAAATACTGATAAATAAAAAACAAAACTCCTCTGCACTGTGCAGTTTACCAACCAAAGGTTAAAGTTCAGACCAATGTGTTTCCAGCACTTAATGTGCAGCTTTAATGCAATCGACTCTTTAGTGTTATTAAACTCATTTTGTCTGATCTTATGAAAAAGAGACAGTAGTTGAATGGGTTGTTTAATGTTTTATTGCCTAATAATATAAGAAGCAAAGACTGTAGGCCAGAAGGTACATTGAGATAAAATGCTTGCTATTATCGCCACAGTGCAGGAGAGTAATGTAAGATCTTATCAGAGGTTTTCCATAGATTAGGGGGCAACGTTAGGGTATGGATGCTGCAACAAAACCTTTTAAAGGCGATCATTCCATATTTAACACATGGCTTGCGACTGAAAGATAAATGCGCCTGCAGAGGTAAGCAGAGCTGAGTGCTGCCATCATTAGTTGAACATTAACATCTCCAAAGCGATTTCTGATAATCCTCGATCCACAATTAGCGAGCAAAACAAAATCAGGCAAATAGACATGTTGATCCAATTAGGTGATAGAGTGTGTGCTCTGCTGCTTATTATTCTGATTCAACCAGTGTACGTTTGCTCTTTGAGGTACTTGATACTAAATGGTGCTAATGAGCCCTGATGGATTCCCTGCTTGTACCAAGCCTGCGGCACTGAGCATGATTACATTGGAAAGGGGTTTGATGGGACGCTTTTGCTTTTGTAGTGTCTCAGCTGTGAAACTCTTCGACATAATCAGGTCACCAAGCTGGTCACAGCCATCAGCAAAAAAGCACACTCCATCTCTTATCATTAGAGTGTGCTATTCAGACTGAACCTTCAAACAGGATCTGAGCTAGAGCTAGTCTTTATCTTTGCCAGCACAACAGGAGGAAACACCTCACTGTTCTTCAATACGCAGTATGTTAATAATGCAGTTTGAATAAAACACTTGAGCTGTGTATTCACCTGTAGTCCTAAAAGCTTGAGGCATGCTGGACAGATTACTGGCGATTTTACAGAGTAAAGTGAAAGCAATTACAATGAGGGATGCAGCTAGTGCATTGTATTGAATTATATACCTATTGAGAAAATGACTGGGTCTTTAAAGCGCTAGAATTTAAGAGCTGTATTAATGGTTACAGCATAAGGGTAAATTGGCCTCTGATATAGATTGATGAGCAATCCTAAGAATTACTTCAAATGACATAGACTGTTACAGCACAGAAACTGGTCATTCAACCCAATTATTCCATGCCAGTGTCTATACTCCACAGGAACCTCCACAGAAGTCATGTATCCCAAACTCTTTCATTAAATACTTTCGGCGAGCATTGTTCCAAAAGCCAGTTATGAGCAGCATTCTTTCTGAACTGATCTGTTTCTATAGTTTTCCAATCTGTCTAACATATCTTTAAAGTAGTCCATTCCCCTTGTAACTCAGGAGTTTCAGGTTCAGAAAGGACCCTTGGATGAGGTACTGATTGGCATTCTGTGCTGCCTTAACTGTTCGCCCATAGAACAAAAAAGGAATCAAATGTTTTGAGGAGTGCATGGGAGAGAGTTGGTGGAGAAAATCTTAAGGAAGCAAAAGTAAGTCATACTTTGCACTGATGGCTCATTTGGTGAATGCATTAAGTGGTCTGAGCCCAACAGAGCAAGAAGGTCTCAGGTTTGATGACTCTTTTTGCTGAGTTAGTTGATCCTCTCTGAAGCAGCAGTTGGGACTACAGTTGGCAACAGCACCCTGGGTTAGGGAGGTGAATAGCAGTTATTCCTGATGTTCCTGAATACTATCCAATGACATTGGGTAAGGGCAGGAACTAGCTTCACTCTGATGCCCCCCACCATTATAGATAGCGATGGGTAAAACCTCGAGCGAGCCCAGTGATCACAAAATGAAACTAGTGGTCAACATCGTCAAAGGAGCTGCACCCAATCCTCACTGGATTTTCTTCCCCACCACTTACTAGCCTCAAATATGAAGAATGAATACTTGGGTGAGTTGTCAGCCAGAGAGGTACCACAGCAAGGCTAGCACCTGTGCTTCCCATACCTCAGTCAGAATAACAACAACAAATTACATTTGTATAGCGCCTCTCACATTGGGATGATGTCCCAAGACACTGGACAGTCAAGGATTTGCACCTGAGCTGGGGGTTGGCATCAGGAGAGGTGGAGGGCAGGGAGGCTGGGGATAGGAGGATGAGCAAAGGCATGGCGGAAGAGGTTGGTCTTGAGACACGACTCGAAGGAGGCAAGGGAGGGAGTGAGGTGAAGGGACTGTGGAATGGAGTTCCAAAGGGTGGGGGAGGAAAGGTTGAAGGCCCGACCACCGATGGTGGGGCGGGAAGGGCAAGGGGCATGGAGCAGGCCTGAGCCCACTGAGCGGAGCAGGTCACAAAGGTAGGGAAAAGCAAGGCATTGGAGGGCTTTGAAAGCGAGAGTAAGCAGCTTCATGAGAAGGGGGGAGAAAAGGGGGCAAAACAAACCTCTGGGCTTCAGTTGATGTTGAAAACCACAAGAGCCAGGCAAAGTGATTAATAACCTTGGCTGATCCTGGGGTATCGACCTTTTAAAATATTTACTGTGGAGTCAGTGGGGGAGTTTTGTTTTGTTTTATTTGTACTACTAGGTTTTTCCATTGGGATTATGTATGGTGCTGACCAGTTAATGTACGAGAATGTCCTTACTGCGAGTTATCAAATGATGATCAATGCACTAAACATCAACGTGATCTGTATTCAGACCCAGGTCCCCGAGGTGCGAGGTGTGTGCTTAAGCGACTAACTCAACTCAGTCCCCTAAAGAGAAATTTGCATTCTTAGAATATCTGTAAGCCACAAGATAAAGATATAGATTTTAATATTTTTCTTCTGATTATGTATTGGATGTGAGCGAGAAAGGAAGCAAGCACTCGTTCTTGCTTTGTTTGGGGAATACTTGTAAAGCTTAATTTATCCACAGTCGAGCCAAAGGGGATCCTCCAGCTTTGATAGCCCGAGGCTGAAGGATGAACTTCAAACACATTTTCATCCTCTGAATGAATCTCTATCAGGTCAATTTAGATACATTTTTTTTAAAATCCACTCAGCCAGGCCTTAGTGGGACACTGTAATTAAGTTAGTGTTACCGGTTAAGGTGGGGGATCATCCAGACTTTCCTTTCTTTATTACTGTCCAGTGATCCTTGCTGGAAAGTGCTTGTAAAGGCATCCGAGGACCAAAATTTCTCACGATTTAGGATTAAGACCATTATCTTAAAATTTAAGAAGGTGCAGAATTTTGGAAAATTCTTATGTTTTTGGTCTCAATTTGGAGGCTGGTTCTTTTTGAGACGTGAGGGTTCCGATCTATGATTCGATCAAAGGATTTTCCAAAATGCTCTAATGCCTAAGAACAGGAGAAATTTCAGCCCTCTTGTGTGAATGTGATGGGGATCAGTTGTGATGCAGGTTCTCTCCATCCGTCAATGGATAAGGTGATAGACACCAGCATGAGTCGCTGACCTTCAGCCACTTTTATCTGCCCTCTTCAATTCGCTCACTAAATCACCTGCCTCACTCCCTCCCACTCTGCTTTGAAAATCTGACTAAAAACGTATTTTTTGGACTGCGCCTTCAGCCACCTTTCAACTGCACCCCACCTTCCTTTCCCCATTTTCCACTCATCCATTCATTTCTGTAAAGCACTTTAAGATGCTCCCCTCTGTGAAAGGTGCTTTATAAGTGTAAAAAAAACATTTGATCACTCAATCCACAACTGTTGTAGAACACTGCTGTGCGCAATTGGCTGCCGTGTTTCACCCACAAAATATAGTAAATGAACTTTACAGTATATTCTGTGAAGCACTTTGAGACGTCGCAATGACGTGCTAAGACGCTACATCAAATGGAAGAATTATTATTATTAAGTTGTTGTTGCTGCTGTTAATTTGATGATGTTACATGTAATACTGCTGTTGCTGCCACAGGATGTCACTAGTTGCTATACTGGCAAATTAGCCAGTCGGCTTGTCAGTGGTGAATGTGCTTTGATCTTCCTCACTCTGGGCTCAGAATAGTAAGTGCAGTGGAGTGCATTAATAATGCTTTTGAAGTAGTCTGAAGGCATATCACACGTGATTACCGCACTCTCCAGGGCAAGTGCCGGACGCCTGTTTCATGACAAGGAAGATGTTGCAAGGACTGAAATTTCAGCAGTGGATCAATAGTATTATTGCAGTTTAATCACACGGCAGCCTGTCAGAACCAAACCAAGCACTTCATAAATTCAAATCAATTGGCAGAGCTCATGACATCTGGGAGTAAGCCTCTTTTGACTTGGTATTGGGAGTGGGGGGCAGGGTTGTATTGGAATTTTTTTTAATTGGCCTTGTATTCCATCACGTGGTCATCAAATAACTAAAAACTCTGAAGTTTCTAGTCTCCTGTGAGATGGATCCTGAAAGAGTAAATTAATTTAGCAGCTCGTGCCAGTCTTTCTGTGACAAACGTGTCTTCTTCCCTTACACCAAACATTAGCTATCGAAATTTAAAAATGTATTTTTGAAGGGATTATTATACCTGGAAAAGTGATTCGCCAAACAACTGGGTTCCTACTTACTGCTAAGTAAACAGAGGTGTGTGGAGCAAGGAAACTTGCCTAACGTTTCGCCCTGCCCGGGAATCAAACCCAGGTCCTCGCTTGCGAGGCGAATGCTCTCAGGTCTTCTCGCTTGCAAGATGAATCAATATGCTACAGGATTCCAAGATAATTGTATGTCCCGGTCTATTAATCCAGTTGGTTACTTTGGCAAAATAATAACTAGAGAAAATACCATTGAATTGTGGGAGAGTGTTTCTGGTTTCTTGCTGTTTAATTCTGTGTGTTGCTTTATTATAGATAATTGGCACAATCCCGTTGATGTCTAACGCTGGAGTATCATCTAGTCAGAGTGCAGGTGGAGCTCAGGGCATTCAAGTGCAGCCCATCACCCCTCAGTTACTGACCAACGCCCAAGGTCAGATCATTGCCACAGTTATTGGAAATCAGATCTTACCCGTTATCAACACACAGGGAATAACGCTGTCTCCCATAAAGCCAGGCCAACAGGTAATTGAGATACTATCCTTACAGCATATTTGCATGCTATGGGATGCATTGCAAAAGGATACAGGATCTGACTGGGGTTAATGTTAAATTTCTCTGTGGTTCTGTAAAATAGTCCTGTTTCATGTATTGTTTACTATTGAAGTAATAGAGTTGTTACGGTCTGGAATGCACTGCCTGACAGGGTGGTGGAAACAGATTCAATAAGAACTTTCAAAAGGAAATTGGATAGGTACATGAAAGGGAAAAAATTCCAAGTACCTGGGGAAAGAGCGAGGTAATGGGACTGATTGGTAGCTCTTCCAAAGAGCCAGCACAGGCACGATGGGCCGAATGGCCTCCTTCTGTGCTGTAATATTCTATGATTCTAAGATTCAATAATGGGTGAGATGGTTCAATGTGACAACAGAATCTTAGGACATTCTCAAATCTAAGCAAATATTCAATAGGTGAAATATTGGGGTCAAATTTATGGTCCGTGTGATATTTATCACAGTGAATGGACTCCCCCCATATCCGGTTCTCAGTGATGAATTCAGAGAAGCAATGTATTGGACTTCTGGGCTGCAGATCATGAATGGCCTTTTGCCCAGTAGTTGCTAGTAACTTTTTGAACTTTAAAGCTTACAGTCCGGCTAACTGGAGAATAGTGTGCCACAGCTACAGTCCCTGCTTCTCCAGCTTCACTATTGAGAACTGCTTGGGGGAAGAGGAAGGTTTTGATTTCAACCCATTCAATAAAATAAATATCACATGGACCAAATTTGACCCTGTTGCTTCAGTACTTTATAATTACAGCAGATATATTCGATCGGCCAAATTGGAGTCAGCCCTTTCCAATGCAAAAGGATTGCGTTGAAAACGAAAATAATATAATTTACCAAAAATAAGAACAATTTACATTTGTTTTCCAGATACACTAAGTCAGTAGAACAAGATGACATGGGTTCAGGCTTGTGCAGGGCAATTTTAGGATGGTAGAGACCAGGACACTGGATTTACTTAGGAAACAGACGAATGCTATTTAATCCTATATAATACATAATCATAATCTTATATAATAGGATAGCAGAGTGGGTGTTCTGAAACAATGAGATCCTATTTCAACCAAATCTCTCTTCTGATCTTGTCATCTATGTTCCACTTTCAAATTCCTCATGGTCCCTGTTGTCGGATGACAGAGCAGAAACATAAAACCCAATCGGAAAATAAAGGCAAAAGGAATAACGGTGAAGGGAAATCCTAGTGAGAGATCAATATGTACATGTATTGATACCATGAGTGAGGACACTGAGTAACTCAGGAGTACTGTAGCTGGGAATGGTAGAATTAAAAATTTAGACTGAAGCAATAACAAATTCTTAAATTATTTTTGTTTGTTTTTCGAACATTGACTGAGGTATATCTAGGACTGAGTACATTATGGAATATAACCCCAGCTTCCAAGGCAAGTTATGAAAGAAATATACAGTATTGAATAGGAAAAAATATGTTTGTCATAGCAGGTCTGTGCGCTTTCCCCCAACACAGACATACACATACACAGACATACACACACACAAGAAACACACACACATACACACACAGACATACACACAGACACACAAGAAACATACACACACACACGGATACACACACAGAAACACACACACACAAATAAGGCAATGGTCAAGTATGGCTCTGTTTCGGGAAAGCTCAGCACAAAACCTCTTTAATTTGAGAAGAAAGTCCGTTTGGACAATGGGGACTTAAACATGTTGTGAGATTTCATTTATAAAAATCCAAACTTTACTCCGTACCTACCTCCAGTGTCTTCATTTAGCGCTTTCTATTTCTATATCTGTAACATGCTGTCATACATCCAGTGATTATGTTCTGTGCTGATAGGAGGTTGCCTATACATCTTCCTATTTATGCTTTTATCTCAGTCCATATAAAGTTATTCATTTTCTAATACTGCAGTTTCACCATTGCTTTTCTTGCCTCAGTGTTGGATTCCCATCAGTATAAAAGTCATTAATTATAATTTAGAGATTAAACTACTGTAGTTAGAATTTATAGGGTGAACTAGTTGGAACTTCAGCCTCAATGTGGTGAATGAAGGGGCATATATTTTATGATTTATACATGTCATCTTTTTCCAAAGTATCAGGCTCAGTGGCAAAGTTACTGCAATGTATCTCAGAGAAACCTGATCAGAAGAGAACTTTATTCGGGGGGTTGTTCTTCAAATGTACAGGCATGAATCGATAGTGCGGTCAATGCTTGCTCTGGTTCATTCCTGTTTCTCGTCACCATGGATTTAGTTCAAAAAGTAAAGGTCCGAGAATGTTAAGACCTTGCGGGTGGGTTTGGTATTCCAGAAGTTTCCTGTGAGGAGTGTTAGTGGAACTCAAGTATCTCTCGGTGTAATCTAACACTCGGTTTGTGTGTTTGTGTGTTCAGCTTCCACAGCATCAGCACCAGCAGCAGCATCCGCAGGTAGGCCAGGCAGTGTCCCAGGCTAACCTACTGCACATGGCACACGCTCAGGCCTCTCTCGCACAAAGCCCAGTGCGTCAAGCTTCTTCCTCTTCCTCTTCATCCTGTTCTTCTTCAGCTCTGAGCGTTGGACAGTTAGTCAGCAGTAAGTAGGGGCTACTCGCTGCAATTGTTTGTTCCTCAGCAATTCACTCTTCAATTCAGCACTGGAGTAAGCCTATTAAGTCCATCCAATCAATCGATTTGTTCATATTATTTTTGCTCGTCGGACACCAGAGTCTGTCCATGTCAGCTCGGTTCCATCTGTGAACTATGCAAACACAGTGTCACTTCATATGGGGAAAGGGCAGGTTAATGGATTGAAGGGATTTTTCTTTAATAGACACAATGACCTTCTTCTGTGGCTCTACTGTACTATACACAGAGTCTCAGTTAACCTCATTATGAAGGTCAAAGCGGCCGCAAATCCATGCCTTTTTGGACTTTCCTACCCAGATAATGGGGTCAGAAACATCAGACATTGCAACAATATTCACAAAGGATTTATAAATATTAAGTCCTGTCAGTAACAGCACGTGGGTTATACCAAGTCCACTCCCACACAATGGAAGGAGACCCCAACGGAGCAGGTCAGCACGACACACAAGTCCAGTTACCAGAACAGATCTAATAATTACAGATCACGTGCAAATAGTACATTTCAACCACAATCTTGACACTGATCATATAAAGCAGCATATTTTATGTTTCTCAACAATGACCACAATGCTGAAGTGGTGCCCAGAGGAGCAATGTGAATAGTCATCCTGAGGGCCAATCCATTGCTTTATTGTTACCGGAGTTTTTTAATCTGCCACTTCAATCCTAATGTTATTATTCAGATGGGTGTTCAGATCTTAATGACTGCTAGTCTTTACTGGTAAAGTATTCAAGTCCATATAATTAAGGTTGATGACAGAGGGCAACTTGCAGTCTATAGATAACCTTCCAAACGAGTAATAAGGCACGAATCCAGTGGAGTAGTCTTGAGACACAGTCCTGGTCCAACTAAAACAGTCGTCTATTAAATCAAGTTCTGAAGGGAGAATTCAGTCAGTTCACAAAATCCAATAATGAGCCAAACAGGGAGAGCAGGCCAGTCACACCATTAAATGCCATCCCAATGGCAGTGTTGCAACTGGACTATATGTCATGTGGTTTACATGCAATACTGTAGTTATTTATTCAGTTCTTTGCTCTCACCCTGTTTTTAGAAGACCTCTTCCACTGAAACTCCCCTCATATTCGTCTTCTACACTAGATTTTCTTGCCCAATCATTTGTTCTTTCTTCCCTTCTTGTAATCTCTGGTCATTCTCTCCCTAACACCTTTTGTTCCCCCAGCTTTGTGTCCTGGGGCACATCATGCACCCATTGATTTTAAAGACTAACTTTGTTAGGCTTTGTTTATTGTTGCTTTGTGACTCAAGAACATTTGAGATGTTTGTTAGGAAAATTCTACTGCAATTTATGTTAGTCGCTGCAAATATTGTTACCCATCATTTTCCACATTTTTAGGTTTAAGATGATTGGTTAAAGAAGACATCTCAGAGGGGACCTCGTAGAGATATATGAAATTTTAAATGGGATTGAAAAGGTAAACCCGGAACAATTGTGGAGTATATTGGTTTTATCTCATCTCGCAAGTGAGATGACCTGGGTTTGATTCCCAGACCGGGTGAAACCTTGGGCACATTTTCTTACTCCAAACGCCTCTGTTTACCTGGCAGTAAGTAAGAATTCGGTTATTAGTCAATTGGCGGATCGCTTTCCAGAGGTAATAATCCCTTTAAAAAAATGTGGTCACTTAATCCATGACTGTTTGTGGGACAATGCTGTGCATAATTGGCTATCGCATTTTCGCCCCCAAAAAATGCAGTCAATTCACTTTACAGTATATTTTGTGAAGTGCTTTGAGATGTCTCGACTATGTGATACAGTGCCATATCAGATGCAAGGATTATTATTATTAATAATACTTTGGGATTTACTAAGACAATAGAACAAGAGGACGTAGGTTTGGAGTTGCAATAGGCAATTTCAGGACCGACACCAGGAAGATTTCTTTACCCAGACAGTGAAGGGTTAGCCTATGTGAAGGGTGCTATACAAATGCAAGTTGTTGTTATAATTAATGACTGGAACAGGTTGCCAGGAAGAGTGGTTGAGGTATGGACACTGGACTCATTTAAAAAGCAGCTTGATGCTGTGATGCGGGGACAGTAAATTGGGTATTCTGGAAGAATGAGATTAGATGGGCTAAAGGGCCTTCTTCATCTGATCCAATCTTGTGATCTTATTACCTTAAATTTTAAGACATGAGTCTTAAACCTAAGAATACAAAGACATTTTTGGTTATAGGTGATATGTTTGCAGCAGCTACAGCACATTGCGATAGGAATCTCTCAATGAATATCAACATTCTGCTTGTCAGTACTTATATTGTTGGATAACCCATTTTAAACTGACACACATTGCGAAAGTGAATTGCACACTAAGAGCAGTAAATCTGACAAAAGGCAGAAATGCTTCCATTTCTGGGGTTCGCCAGATGGTGTTATGACATTTGGTCTTTATCTGTTTCCTACTTTATAAATTCACCTGCTTTGCTTGTTTCACTTCCTTCCTTTAGATCCCCAAACAGCAGCCGGTGAGGTTGATGGAGTAAATCTTGAAGAAATTCGGGAATTTGCAAAAGCGTTTAAGATCCGCCGCCTGTCTCTTGGCCTGACGCAGACGCAGGTCGGACAGGCCCTAAGTGCCACAGAGGGGCCAGCATACAGCCAATCTGCCATCTGCAGGTATCTAAAGACCTTATGACTTCTGTAATATAACTGAAATCTTTGGTGAGTGTGACAGAAAGCGTTCTTCTGTACTTTCCGCTGTGCACAGTGAATTCTGGTAGAAATTGGGTACATTCTATCCGGTATAAAACAGGATCTTCCTTTTACCAGCATCTCCTACTCAGCATCTTTGAAGAGAGAATAGGAGCAGAATTGGGTTAGGGTTCGAGCACCAATGTCGGTGGCTCAATCAACATTTTTCAATTACTAGAACATTATCGAAGGCACTGACCCAGAAGGGAGTGGATGCAGAATCGAATGGCATGTTTAGGAAGGAGATAGATGTAGATATAGATACAATACTTGGGAAGGAAAGGATATTAAGGTGTGTAAAGAAAAGGTTGGGAAAATGGGATTGAAAGGTCTGCCATGATCCAGTGAGTACCAAGAACCATAGACAGGGTCGGTTTTCCAGCATCCTTTTGTGCTGTAAAAGTTATAAGATTCTGTGATTATCTGAGGATATCTGATGTGAGTTATTTCAACATGACATGCCTATTGTAGCCAAAACAGGATAATAGACCTCTCTGTTTGGTATTCATGCAAATTAATTCATTTGAATTCATCTGATGAGTCCCTACCTGGGAATGAATATATCTGGATGTTCATTTAGTTGCGAAATGAACTAAATGACTTCAGCTAAAAAGAGTTTGCAAAGACCTCACCTTATAGAGATCAGGAGTGTGTTGATGACAGATCAGACAGCCTGGCTCATTAGCCAGACTTGGAGGGGCAGACTGTTAATCAGGATTCTTCCCACTTTTTCCTGTTTATCCTGAAAGCCAAAGCCCTAATGGCTCCCAGCAGAACAAGCAACAGGACATTTGCCAGTGTTTGCCATGCAAAGCTGTGAGGTTTTAACGTTTAAAGCCCAGCAATACCCCCAATTCACATTCCACGGTCCACAAACGTTAGCTCTTGCCCCTTGTGACTAATCTTTCTCTGGGATTAGGTAACTAGGGTGTACCTCTCCAGGTAGCGACAAATATTAACTATGCACATTGTGGTTTGCCTTGGAGGTTCTTCTTCTTAATAATAATAATATAATAATCCTTGTATTTGATACAGCGCCTTGTTACATCGTCAAGAAGTCTCAAAGAACTTCATAAGATTTGACTAGGAAGTGTAGTGTATTTGTAGGCAACCATGGCAGCCAATATGCACACAGCAATGTCCCGCAAATAACCATGAAGTGAATGACCAATTAAGACCATAAGACATAGGAGCAGAAGTAGGTCATTCGGCCTCTCGAGCCTGCCCCGCCATTTAATAAGATCTTGGCTGATCTTCTAACCTAATTCCATATATTCTAGAGAATATAGGCCTAGTTTACTCAACCTCTATTCGTACGTCAACCCCCTCATCCCAGGAACCAACCTAGTGAATCTATGCTGTACCCCCTCGGCGAGTATGTCCTTTCTTAAATAAGGAGACCAAAACTGTACACCATATTCTAGGTGGGGTCTCACCGAGGCCTTATACAACTGCAGCAAGACTTCCCTACGCTTGTATTCTAATCCTTTCACAACGAACGCCAACATGGCATTAGCCTTCCTAGTTGCTTGCTGCATACTAACTTTTTGTGACTGGTGTACAAGGACACCCAGATCCCTCTGAACACTAACACTACCTAGTCTCTCCCCCTCTAGAAATTTTTTATTTTTACTACCTAGGTGAATAACTTCACACTTCCCCACGTTATACTCCATCTGCCACCTTCTTGCCCACTCCCTAGCCTGTCTATTTCCTTTTGCATTCTTCATGTGTCATCCTCACAGCTTACTCTCCCACCTATCTTCGTATCGTCCACGATTTTAGATATGTTAAGGTCTACTTCCTCATCTAAATCATTAATATAGACTGTAAATAATTGAGGCCCAAGCACTGATCCTTGTGGTACTCCACTTGTCACATCCTGCCAATCTGAGAAGGTACCATTTATCCCTACTCTCTGTTTTCTTCCTGTTAACCACTCTCCAAACCATGCTAATATATTACATTTAATCCATGGGCTCTAATCTTATGCAACAGCCTTTTAAGTGGCACCTTGTTGAATGCCTTCTGGAAATTCAAATACACCACATTTACTGGTTTCCCCCCTATCTAACCTGCTAATTACATCCGCAAAAAACTCTAAAAAATTTGTTAAACATGATTTCCGTTCTGTTAAGCCATGTTGACTCTGCCTAATCATGTTATGATTTTCTAAGTACCCCATGACGACGTCTTTAATTAGGGACTTTAGAATTTTCCCTACCACAGATGTCAGACTAACTGGTCTATAGTTCCCCATTTTTTTGTCTCCCATCCTTCTTAAATAGCAGTGTTACGTTTGCGACCTTCCAATCAATGGGAACCGTTCCAGAATTCTGAGAATTTTAGAAGATCAAAAACAAAGTATCCACTATCTCTGCATCCACCTCTTTTAAAACCCTAGGATGCAGGCCATCAGGTCCAGGGGATTTATCAGTTTTTAATCCTATCAATTTCTCTAGTACTATTTCTTTACTGATGTTCCTTTCTTTAAGTTCCTCACTAACATTAGCCTCCAGGTTCCCCTCTATTTTCAGTGAGTTTTCAATGTCCTCTAACGGGAAGACAGAAGCAAAATATTTGTTTAATGACTCTGGCATTTCTTTATTCCCCATTATGATTTTTCCTGTCTCTGCCTGCAATGGACCCACATTCACTTTTGATAGTTTCTTCCTCTTTATGTACTTGTAAAAACTCTTACAATCTGTCTTTATGTTCCTAGCTAGTTTATCCTCATATTCCATTTTCTCCCTCTTAATCAGTTTCTTGGTTTTCCTTTGCTATTCTCTAAAGCCCTCCCAATCCTCAGGTTTACTGCTCTTTTTGGCAGTATTATATGCCTCTTCTTTTAATTTTATACTTTCCCTATCTTCTCTAGTTAGCCAAGGTTGAACCACTTTTCCCGTGGTATTTTTATCTTTCATGAGAATATGTAATTGCTGGGAAATATGTATTATATCTTGAAATGTTTACCATTGCTGGTCTACCGTCATATTTTTCAATCTAATTTCCCAGTCTATTTTAGCCAAATCTTCTCTCGTACCTGCAAAGTTGACTTTATTTAAATTTAAGACCCTTGCTTCGGATTCAACTATATGACTCTCTAACTTGATGTTAAATTCCATCATGTTAGGGTCATTCTGCCCTAGAGGAGCCTAATTTCCAGATTGCTGATTAGTCCTATTTCATTACACAAAACTAGATCTAGGATAGCCTGTTTCCTGGTTGGTTCCTCAGCATATTGTTCTAGAAAACTATCTCTATTGCGTTCTATAAACTCATCCTCTAATTTACTTTTGCCAATTTGGTTTTCCCAGTCTATATGAAGATTGAAATCATCCACTATTAGTGTATTACCCTTGCTACATGCTCCTCTAATTTCCTGGTTAATACTCTGCCCAATACTGTAACTGCTGTTTAGGGGTCCATAAACTACACCCACTGTTCTTTGAGAAATTTTATCTTAACCATGGTAATGGATTTCCACATGTGTTAGACACCCGCTTGACCAAAAAAAAAATCTCTTTTCATTAGACTTTGTTCACCATTAGTTGTTTGATGAAGAGTAATAATCTGCCAAACAGTTTACCTCACATCTTTGTCCATCTTAGTGGAATTACAGTGACGTAACAGAGAAAGCCAATGATTTATCCATTATTTGGGATGAAAGCTTTCCAGTCTTTCCAATAACTAACAGAAAGGCAGCACACCAACTCACAACTCTCCTTAAATATACTCTGCTATTTGTGAACCAAGACAATCTCTGTCCTTTGAGACTGTTTGTGTTTCCAATGCCTTCCCTTTAGAATAAGAAAGTGTTTTCCCTACCAGTTAGGAGCAGTGTTATGAGGAATCACAGTATGAGGCATTGAAGATGCACTTCAAAATTGTTCTGCTCAATAATTCTCCAGAATATTGCATTGATTACTGCTCCTTACATAGCTCTGGCTTGTGCTCTGCAGGATCCCTTGACTTACCTGCTGTTTTGTCTTATAGGATACTTCCCTGCAGAAAATTGCTCCACTTATTCAATCCTGTCGAGGAGATCACAGTTTTGAAATGCACCTGTTTGCGCATTTGTAGATGATAATAAACTCCTCTCTCCATACAAACCTTACTCCAACCAGCTATGCTGTGTAACTAAGATACGATTTTAATAGTAGTTTGAGGAGAGTGCAGAAATCAAGATTAAGATGGGATTTGTGGCATGCCAGGTGCAATTGTGGCTACAATTTGCCAATGGCAAGTTCACAAACTGAGGTTTGCCGGCAGAGAGGTTGCACTCCTCTCATCCAGGAGAGAAGGAAGACAAGTGTTAAACCACAATGGACTGTGACTGCTCTCCCAATTCCTGAAATATCTCCTGGTCTTAACCTTAAGACCATTTTGATCTCCTGGTCTTAACCTTAAGACCATTTTGATCTCCTAGTCTTAACCTTAAGACCATTTTGTCTTAACATTTTAAAATTGAGCAGAATTGTTGAACATTCTGAAATTCATTATTCATCTTAAAATCAGTTTTTCACAGAATTTAAGAATTGCAGAAAATTTGGCTCACATCAGTTACGATTGCATTTTTAAAAGCACGTTTTCACATCATAATGTCTCAAAGGGTTTCACTATAATTACTGTTAGGTAAAATCACTGTGAAGGAGAGCATGGCAGTCAATCCCCATTAACAGGACAACAATGTCCCACAAACAGCTGTAAAATCAATGACAATTTTATTTAACTTGGGGGTTCAGTGGCTACGGCACTGGGAGAAATTCCCTTCTCTTTACAAGTAATGCCACGGGATCTTTAACATCCACCAGAAGAGGCAGGGGGGGATCTTGGTTTAACGTCTCATTCAAAGCATGACACCTCTGACCAGGCAGCACTCCCACAGAATCGAGTCATCTTAGACGATGAGTTCAAAATCTTTG